CGCCATAGTTTCTGGTAGTCCGTAGATCCTGACCGGGCGCCACTCGTTATGATCTTCAGCTGCGTTACCGAAAGCACCGAGAGCCCACAAAGGATCTTGTGAGGGTTCTGCGGTCGCCTCAATCTTCACCCAGTCGCCAGAGAAACAACCGACCTTGATCAAGGTGTTAGTGTCAACGAAGATGCGAGCATCTTCATCGTCTTCGCCGCCAGGCTTGGGATGTATCAGCTCCTCAGGTACCGGCAATAGCAGACCTTGCGCTTTGAATACTTTGCCCTTGGACGCAGTCCCTCGTGCGGTGGTGGCCGTAAAGCTAGAGAACACAGAGCCTGGAGTTGCTATTCCATTCGTGTGGAAGTTGCCCGGCCGCGGTGTAGCGGAGCTGAATGCTGAAAGCACGCCGGATGATTGAGATGGAAGAAGAGGCGCGTTCAAAGAAATGATATCCTCGGAGTCATCGGAAAGGTCATCTGCTTCAGACCCAGAGAGTGCAGAATCGAAGTTATCCGTTGACTCCTCGTCAGGAGGCGTTGTGTTTTGGGAATGCGAACGGTCTTCAGCTGCTGAGTAGAATTGCTCGTTTGATGTATCTTCTTCTTCTGTGTCAGCAAAGCCGTTCGGTTCTGGAGCATGTCTTGCAGGGGGGAGAATGGGTAGCGATTTGGAAGGGCGACCGGACTGCAATACGACTACGCGTGTAGTAGGTAGCAGGAGTCCTTGCGATAAGGGCTCACATGCTGTGATCTTCGCTGGCGGTGGTGGAACATGGGTGATCGGGTGCGCTGGAAGCTGGAGCGGTAGTAGGTCCCCGCTGTGGAGGACTGGCAGCGACTGCAATGACTCTTGAACGGCCTTTCTCCACACGCGCTCCTGCACCGCAGGAGTGATCGAGGGCGCGTTCTTTCTGCCTGCCCCATTGATTCTCAGGTGCTTGTTGCGGAGGCTCGCTGCACTCCCGTTGCTTGGAGCATCACCGAAGCCTCCACCGAACTTTGCATGAACCTCATCGAGCTTTCTCAACGCGTCTGTATCTAGGCTCACATATACTGTATCTAGCCCAATTGGAACCACATCCAGAATGCGAATTTCGAGGGGCATATCTCGGCGCTGGATCTTGTTCGGCGAGACGGCCTGAAGCGTCTGTAGGAAAACCTGGAGCGCGAGAGAAGAGGCGGGATATCGGAGGGACGAGTGAGGTAGAGCCGCGGAAGGGTCGGACTTCTGGGCGGCCCGGACAGGTAGAATAGTCCACGGGACCGTGTTGGACGCAACAACTGAGCTCGGCAACCATGGGGTTATAGCTATGTGGAAAATGCGTTCTGTCTTGGGGCTGTCACCGTCCGCTATCGGGGTCAGCTCTCCTCAGGGACAGTTGTTTGTTTCGCCATATCGACATACCATCGTTTTGATACCCCCGGAATAGGTCGACCACAAGGTCCTCGGAGAGCTCTCCCACCTCCCCCTTCTTGCGGTCGTCAAGCAGCAAGCGCGCAGAGACAGGCGGCCGATCGAGCCTCCTCCTGCGCCGCCTCTTGCGCGGGTGGGGAGCACCATTCTGCGCCTCCATCTAGCACTGAGATCGAAAGAGCTCGATGAACACGACTGCAGAAATTAGAGATCCTCTACTACACATCGACTTGGAGGTTTGATGCCAAGACATGAGGACCTCGGCAGTCGGCGGCGTCTCGTGCTGCCCGGCTGGGACTGCAAAGAACGACTCCACGAACCACGCGAAATCGGTCCTTCCCATTACCAGGTCGATGGTATCGCTCGAGCAGGATTGCTAGATCCGCCTCTTCTTCACATGAAAGCACAGAGAAAAACAGCTAGCGGCGACTCGCCTCCACGCCAAGCACCCCGCGTCTCGTTTCGCACGTCCACCTCCGGCTCCGCGTCTGCGATGCCTGTGAATTGCCCCCTTCTTGCAAATCCAAGTTTAATAATTCGCCTTCGAGTTTGGAGGGTCTGCAGGCAGGGTACGCTCGCGTATCGAAGACGGGTTGGGCCTGGCGCTGTTGGCCACTGACATCTGCAAATCGTGGATTCCTGCCGCGTCTTGGAGTCCCATGACTGACATCATCGCACAGTGCGACACCCAGCTGCTGCAACAACAAGGCTGCCGATCATTCAGCCACAAGCTCATGCTTTTCCTCAACATCTGAACTCCACGCCTTTCGTTATCTGCTGTTCTGTCTTTCCTTCTTCTCCAATTTAGACATAGACATGGGACAGAGCTTCTGGTCTTGATTAAGGAATACTCAACATCACTTCAGCCTCCACCCAAAAGGCTTCATTGGGCTTCGTTATACCTCACAGTAGGGCTCATATAGCACATCACGACGTTCGACGAAGGTGCCTAGGGTATTCCTCATTAACCAGCTCCATCGTACATTCATTTGAAGCCTGCTAGATCGTCCCCAAAGCACTCAAGCACCGTCGTTATCACATCTACATCCCCCCAATGGGCGACATGCCTGGCATCAGTGTAGCCAAACAGAAGGTGGACAACGTTTGGGACAAGACCAAGACGAAAACAAAGGCAGCTATTGAATTCTCACACCAAGCCGAACGCCTAGGTCAATATGCGCCGGATCAAGAGAACGACACGACTGGATCGACCCAAGCTGTGGAGGCCAAATTCATCACAGCTCAAGATCCCGTCATCGTGACTGCTGATGGAGGCCGACTGCCAGCGGTGCCGGTGGAGGAGGCTATCAAGCTCAATGAATTAAGAGATATCGTCGATGACCGCGACCCAGCGGAGAAAGTGCCTATTAAGTCAGAACCACGTGAAGCAAAAGACGGCACTATCCATGGTGTGCGACCGAACACCAGAAGCTCGAAGGCTGAGTCTTCTCAGGACGCACCCCTGGGAAGTGCGACACCTCCCTCACGGACGAACCCTCTATTTCCCCCGCTGCCAATGTATGGCCCTCCAACATTAATGAGGAGGGTTCATGTCTTGCTCTTCCGGATAAGCTCATCAATACTTTCGCTTTGCTTCCTTCTGGTCATCATCCTTGGCGCAGCATTTACAAGCATTCCGCTTGCAGCAAACCACATTTGGATGAGGTTGACGTTCAGGAGTCCTGATAAGAGGCGGCCGTTCTATCACGAGGAACAGAGGCGTCGTAAGGTCAGGAAGATGGCGGAAAGGACTTGGAAGAAACAGAAGAATGAGGCATCTGACGGCCATGTCAATGGAGAAGACGGTCAAAAGACCAATTTTGACTTCGTACCCCTGGAAGGCGGGCCAGATAGCATACCGTGCGATGTTCGATACTACGCACGCCGCGTGGGTCTTGATTGCGAGATCTTCGACGTTCAGACTGAAGACGGCTTCATCATCGAACTCTGGCACTTGTATAACCCTCGAGAATACAAGCGGACCGATTCCGCAAAGCGCTCTCCTCACGCGCCTGAAGTCTTCCCCGAGGACTTCGTCGCCAATGGGTCGGCCAACGGAGCATCAGGCTCACAGTACCGCGACGGCGACAAGAAATATCCGGTCCTCATGATTCATGGTCTCCTCCAGTCGGCCGGTGCTTACTGCACAAACGATGATGACAGCCTCGCCTTCTTCCTCGCCAAGTCCGGCTACGACGTCTGGCTCGGGAACAACCGCTGCGGCTTCAAGCCCCGCCATAACCTCCTTGACTATTCAGATCCCCGAATGTGGGCATGGAACATCAGACAAATGGGTGTAATGGACTTACCAGCCCTGGTATCGCGCGTCCTCTCCGAGACAGGCTTCCCCAAGCTTGGTCTCATTTGCCACAGCCAGGGAACTACGCAAACGTTTGTCGCTCTCGCCAAAGAACAGCGACCAGAACTCGGGGAGAAGATCAGTGTATTTTGCGCACTTGCACCAGCTGCGTACTCCGGCCCACTAATAGGAAAGATGTACTTCAAATTCATGCGTGTCATATCGCCAGGCATGTTCCGCGCCTTCTTCGGCATGCACGCGTTCATACCGATCATGATGACCATGCACTCAATCCTTCCACCTCGTTTCTATGGTGCGATGGGGTATAGAGTTTTTGCATTCCTGTTCAACTGGACAGATGATCGCTGGGAGAGAGATCTACGAGACCGCATGTTCCAGTTTGCACCGGTCTATGTCAGCGCAGAGTCCATGCGGTGGTGGCTAGGAAGAGAGTGTTTCGCGAAACAGAAGTGCATCCTCGCGACGAGAGAGGAAAAGACAATGGAGGACAAGGAGGACGAGCAAGAAGACCAGGAGCTGCAGCGGTCGAGCGAGGAGAACTCCGATGCCTCTGATTCGGACAATGATGAAGATGAGAAGAGTCTACAGCAGAGCAGACAGGAAGAGCGGAGGGAAAAAGACGACACAGCACAGGCAGGCCCAGTCTTCCCAAACCACCAATTGGGCAAACTTCAGCCACGCGACAAATCCCGTGCACGCTTTGCATGGTATGGGCCGAAGACCCCTCCTTTTGCTCTCTGGGTCTGCGGCGCTGATGACCTGGTTGACGGCCGTCGCCTCCTTCGCCGATTCGAGCGCAATCGCGAGCCCTACGTTGACATTGTACACTCGAAGGTCATCGAAGGATATGAGCACCTTGATGTCATCTGGGCCATGGACGCGATTGAGAAGGTAGGGAAAGAGGTGCGCGAGGTGATCTGGCGAACTGCGGATGCCGAGTCTAGGAAGATCTGCAGAGTGCCTAGGGGCTGCGATGAGGTCAGGGATTTTTATGTGAGGAAGGACAAGAGGAGTTCGGCGACGAGAGCGGTGGATGCTAGTGCTGGGGAATGGGATAAGAAGGCTGCCGAGCAGGTTGGCGGTGGGGGTGGGGAGGGGGATAGAGATTTGGAGAGGGAGGTCGAAGAGGGAGAGGAGAAGATAAATGCAAGCGTAGATGAGTAATGGGCTCCTTGCGCGACGAGGCAGGTCGAGGATTTGTCGTCGGTGCATGTGCGAATCGGTGGCCTGGGCTTTGCTTCAGGCCCCAGTATACATGATATACCCTTTTTCGCGAGTGCATTCTTTGTTTTGAGCGCCGATAGATTGTTCGCATATATACAACACTAGATTCGATAGCGTCTTCAAGCACCATAACTACAATCCCATTATTCTTCATACAACCTACTGCTTCTCGCCCTCCCTCACCCTCTCCAGCTTCCACTCATACCCAAACAACCTACCCTGCGTAAACATGCCTTTCAAAACCTGACACGCCTTCTTCTTGCCCTCGCCCTTCTCGTCCCGCTTCTTCTTCTTCTCTTCTTGCATGTGTTCAGCTATCCTCCTCCGAGCCTCCCGCCTTTGCTCTTCGTCGATGACCTGCGCTAATAGGCGTCGGAATTTCTCGTCTTGCGTTTCTCCGGGTTCTTCGCCTTCCTCTTCGTCTACCTCTTCATCCCCCATCTCTTCTTCTCCCTCTCCTAACCTATACCTATCCCTATCCCCCTCGTACTCCCCGCCTATCCTCCCTATCTCGCCAGCAGCTACCCGCCCATCCAGCCCCCTTGTCCGCCTCTTCCGGTTCGCAGCGCGGATAGCGCGCGTCTCGCGCTCGATATCCAAACTCGTCTTCTCTTCGACAATCGTCTGCTTGATGACGGGGAGGTCCGGGAGCGGCTGTAGGTGTGCGTCCGTCGGGATCGTTATGTTGGGGATGTAGAGGCTGGTCGCGCGTTGGGAGGTGGGGGTTAGGTAGGTCGGGGGGAGGACGCCGGAGAGGCGGCGCGGGCGGCGCGGGGGTGGTGGTGGTGGTGGTGGT